ATCAAATAAATAAACAAACTTTTTCTTTATTTCCAGTGCTTTTTTAAAAAAGCGAAATATCACAACAATAAATGATCTAATTTTAGCACCGTCAAACAAATGGATATTTACATAACAAAAACAAGAGCCGGAAGAAAAAAATAAGCAAACAAAATAATAAGAAAGCAAATACGCAGAAAAATAAACAGTATAACTAATTTTACCTTGGCTCAGATATTTTTCATAAAGAATGGAAAATAATTGCAATAACAAAAACACGAATCAAAAAGAAAATAGGTGCAACAAAATAACACATCAATAATCGACAAAACACAGTTTTATTCTATGTACAATAACAACAAAACAATCTTATCTGACTATAAAAATTATGGATTAAAACTGAAAATAGTACGATATTGTTAACATAGTCACGTCTTATAACACAGCATAAGCATAACCTATTCATATGACTAGAGGAAAGAAAACGTTTTGTATGATAAAAATCATTTAGTGATGATAATAAACAAATCACTGTTTAAAGATAAAATAAATTCGTTATACTACCAATTTTGGGTAGTTCCCCAAGTGTTTCACCAGTGAGTGCAGCCAAACGATGAGCAAACTAGAAAGTAAGATTAAGGTTGTTTGTGGGCATAACGTGTCAATTGAAAGTGGGCGTTTTAATATATCTCACATGATCATAGATTCAAAAATATATTACTCACTCGACAAACGGATGGTATAAAAAAGTTTCTTCGTTGATGACCGTGTAATGTAAGCCTAAGTATTGTCTGTTGAATAAAACTGACTGGATAATTAGTGTTATCATACAAAACAAGAAATTGTCTGGCCGTTATTGAAGAATATTCTTCCCGTTGTGATGAAAGATAAAAATGATAGGATGATCTAAAGAGGAAAAAGAAAAGAAAATATTCTAAGCCCTATCTTTTCCAGACAAATTTTAATGTACGTTTCATTTTTGTTTGGAATTGTTACTTTTTCTGTCTAAAAACAAGTATAAACAAGTTATTTTCTGTATTTATTCTGAAAGTATTCCTTACTTTAACATAATCTGAATAATTATAAATCATTTGTTTTTGCAATGTAAATATAATTAATTTTGGTTTATAATCTAGTGGACAATATTTCAATGTTTGGAAACATTCAACTATGGATGGTATCTCAATTTTTGTTAATTTTTCAATATCATCTAGTGTTGAAAATACATCTCGACATATTAATATTCGTTCGGGATAAACTCTGTTTATCTAGAATGTTAAAGAGAATAGTTTAGATTACTGAGTTCTTGTTTGTTTCATTCATACTTACTTGATAATAAGCTTCAAGGGCCATCCGAACAAGTGTACCAGCATTTTTATGTAAATCATTATCATTCACATATGAGTTAGCATGACTAAACCATTCTGACAATGAATTATTTAGAGAACTAACAATAGCCAAAACATAATCTAAATGATGCGGCAATGTATAACTGACACACGACGATGTCCATGTGGCTAAGCCAATTGCTATATAATCTTGCTAGGAAATAAAAATTAGAAGTTGATTATTCAAACAATTAAATTAATTATTAAGTACCATATTAATATTTATCGGACGAATTTCACCCCCAAGTTTAAAGTTTATATCACGCGCAATATTGAATGTAACAGATGGCAGTATATCATCGTCGGCTATCGTACTGCGTAAAACAATTTCTGTGGCAGTGGGTATTTCAACACAGCAAACCTTTTTAATGGCATTATAACGATCAATACGTCGAGATTTAACAATAATTGATACAAGTTGAATCTAAAAAAACAAAATTAAATGGATGTTGTTGAAACAAGCTTTTTATACTCACTTTTGGAGTAAGATTTGCACGTAACGCTGATACATAAGATTCGGTTGATTCGTCTTCCAACTGAATATGCACTGGTTCTTGAATAAGTACTCCCAGTTGTCTGCTGATCTCTTGCAACTTACACGAATATACTTGTGCACGCTCCGCATCAACTTTAGAATATACTAACAACCAAAAATTGA